AATTAGTTAATGACTAAATTAAAAAGATTTATTTTAATTAATCTCACATTTATGTTAAGTACAATATTATCGTAATATCTTATCAGTTTTTAAAAAAAATAGTAACTTTTTTCAATAATTTTATAAAAATTAGTTAAATGTGCTTATATTCATATAAAATAGGAAAAAAAAAATCTTAGATATATAAAAAGAACATCGTTGAAATAACTTGAATCCACGAAAAAAAATTAAACATACGTAAAAAAAATTCTGTCTGTGATTAAATATAACAAAAGGGCCTTAATCGGCCTCTTAAAATCACGATGCGGGCGGTTCCAGTCCATTGGAAGCTAACCCTAATGGAAAGCTCATGATACGAGTTTTTTTTTATTAAAAAAAAAACCTCAAAAAAATACATATATTTACAGCTCTATTACAGATCTTTAAATTTTTTGTTTATATAAAAAATTAATATTATATTTACTCATTTATATTTAGATGGTATTTTTTTTTATTAAGAAGCAATGACAATCTCTATCAATCAATAAGAGTCAAGGACAAACAATATAAAGAAGTGTTTCCTATGCTATGACATGATCAGTAAGAGTCAAAGATAGTCTCTGTCGTACGTCGGCTTACTACTGAAGAGCTCAACATTTAGTCATGAGCAATTATACGTGACGCTTTTTAGAGTTACGAGTCAATGGGATTTGAACATTTTGATTTGAGCTGAGAGAGATTTTGACGATAAAAAACCCCGACGTTGTTTTATAAAGAAGTGTTTAAGAATATTTATATTTTTTTCTTAATTTTTTTCAATGATTTTGTTATGATTTTTTACTATTGTTTATAATTTTTATTATTTTTTCATGTATTATATAATTTTCCGTGCAAATGCACGGGACAAAAACTAGTTATATTAAAATTGTGAGTGAATAAATGAGAAAAATAAAGACATAATTAGTGAAATGAAATTGAATTGAAAATACATCAAATTGCACAATCTCTCCTCTAATTTTCTATTCACACTTTTATTTTACTTTTTAGTCCATTAATTTGACATTATCGCCAAATGATTCAGTAGGTTAGCTAGTCTATTTGCTTCTGACTAAAATTGGTCCATGTCTTGACAATTTTATCAAATTCGCGACGAAAATTACGAATTTCAAGAATAATTGTTACTACGGAAAAGAAATAAATGACACGTTAGAACCTATCCTCCAAATTCGCAGTTTTCACATATTTATTTCTTTTTTTTTTTTTACTANAGACAAATACTTAAAAAATGCATAATGATGTGAAAGCTGCGAATTTGGAGGATAGTTTCTAACGTGTCATGATTCTACTTTTATGTAACATATTTTATTTTTTCTTAATTATTAGTAAAATAAAAAAGAAATAAATATGTGAAAACTGCGAATTTGGAGGATAGTTTCTAACGTGTCAAGATTCTACTTTTATTTAACATATTTTATTTTTCTTGAATATTAGTAAAGAAAAGTGGTGAATTACGAATTTCAAGGTTAGCTTTTAACATGTCATGATTATACTTTTATTTAACATTTTTTTTCTTAAACATGTCATGATTATACTTTAATTTAACATATTTTATTTAACATGTCATGGTTATACTTTTATTTAACATATTTTATTTTTAAATGTCAATTTGACTTTATCAACTATTAACCAAATAAATGGCGTTTTAGATCTTTTTACATATTTTTCTATTATTACCCGCATTTAACTAATAAATACACTATGCATTTTTATATTCACTCTTTATTTTTTTCCAAACATCTATCTCTACCTGCATTAAAGAGAATTATTATTGGCAAAAAATGATTCTTAACTACTGTGCAACTTCTTAAAACGACACTTATTATGAATATGATGGAGTAGTAAAAAAACGTGGTGAACTAAGAATTTTAAGGATAACTTTTCCCTTTTTCTGTCCTAGATTTCGATCGCCGCTTTGCCTTCTCTAGAGAGCCGTCGGGCTTTCTGCGGCGGCCACCCTTGAGCAACGCGACTCTGTCCCCTTTGATGCTGATAGTGATGCCGGTCTTCTCGCGATGGGGTGAGTTGGACGACTAGGCCCGTAAGGGTTTCACCAATTTTTCTGATCGTCTTATTGAGCCGATGGTTGTCGATCTCCGAGCGATGTAGTGGTGGTGGGCATTGGTGTTTCTACAGCGTTGGGCCGTGGCTCCGACGACCTTGTTGTGGTGGTTGAGGCTGAGGAGAGTGGGTTCTCCCTTTGTCCCCTTTGCCCCTAGTGCGTGGGCCGAGGGGATGACCGACGTGACGGGCCTGCCTGTGGTGTGGGCGGGCTAGGGGTGTTGGGATCTATGATGATCTCGTTATGTACAAGTCACGAATTCAATAGCAACAATAAACCTATGCGCAGTGGATCTAGAGGTTTAAAGTTGAAGACTTACGGCTTAAAATTTGCAGACACTGAGACATTGTAGATTACCGCTATTGGAAATCGTCTGATCTCAAAATTCGTTGGGCAGGCGGATTCTTCTCGTCGGACCTCGAGAAGCTCGTCGGGAGTGACCGGGAGCAGCACGTCGTGTCGTGGGGTCGACGGGAACACACGGAGGCGAACGTCGGTGTCAACGGGTCACGGGCTGCGGTGCGGAGGTCGCCGGTGCTGGCGCGCGATCATCGCAGGCTGCAGCTTGGCGATTGGCTGCGTCGGGATCAGCGTCTCGTTGCGGCGGTGGTCGACAACTTTCGGGGTGGTATATATATTGATCACGGGGTCTCATTAACCTCGGGATCTTCTACTGTATATCTCAAACACCTCTTTATTTTGTACCGGTTGAGTAACAAGATAAAGATTAAACTCAAACCGGGAACTGGAGAGAGAAGAGAGAGCGTGTGCGTGTATGAGACGATGGGGATGATTGAATCTCTTGTTTTTCTTCCCATGAGGTTAATGATGTATTTATAGAGCTACAGTAGAGAACCTAAGGAGAACATGATTATGGCTTATTAAGCATTGGGCCTAACTGTGAGCCTAGCCCACTCTTTCAATATTTAAATAATATTACGGTCCATTAACGTAATATTATTGCACTCCCTTTTCCTATCCCAAATTATATTTGAGACTCCAATAATAATTACTCGAATTACCTCCCCATATTTAAGATATAATTTTCATTAATTAATTCAATTACAGATAATCAAGAATTAATTAATATATTATATTACCAAAGCTAGCGCCGTTCATTGCATTATTATTATGCCAGAATTTAATCCACCTGCAGGGTTTAGTATAACAATCCTTCATGAACTTAGGGACATCATCAAACTAACGTACACGGTGACCGTAAATATCCTAACAGCACATCGGATATACAATAATATTTCCCAAGACAGTAAGTATATTAACTCAGTAAACTGAATCTTACTCAAGTGAATCAAATTAATAATTACTGCATGTACATGTCTGTTTAATATCTTACGGGTTAAGAGAATGCAGTAATTAACCGAGACTTAAGTTTGTTTACAATCATCAATATAAAACAAATTGTTACTCTCTGGGATTCTGTTCAATACATAAATGTACTAGTGCAACTAATCAGTCAAGACCAACTGTACCGTTGACACTACAACCGTTCTGATGGTTTGTTCATTTCCATCTAGGTTGTGAACCAACAATTTTTGTTTCGCAAGTGACTGATAAAATAATCTTCTGTTCTTCAATGAACCATTTTATCTAAGTGCAAAACAACAAAATATAGAACTTGTTTAATCAAACATGATTCTCATTCAACAAAGATAAAGTGTAATATCATCTAAAGTCAATCTTTGAGTATATAACACCAAAGTACAGAGTATGTCATCTGTAACGCACGCTTATTTATTTAAAGGAAAATATAGATTTTTAAAAAAATTTAAACCTAAAAAAAAAAAAAACAGTCCATTTTCCAAATCAACTAAATGGACACTACTCAAAAACTCTTATTTCTTTCAAATCATTCAAACATAAATAAATGTGTCCTCGAAAGTCGTAAAAGATAATTTATATATGAGTGTTGCTATTTACCGCACCCACTTTTGCTATTCACCGCACCCAATAATTCCTTTTTTGCCCTTACCAAAAAGAATATTAAAAAATTCATTTTTTAATTCAGTTTTTTTAACATTAAAATATATTAAATAAACTAAAAAAACGAAAATAAACTATACATTAAATAAATATATATTAAAAACCGAAAAAAATGAAATAAATTTATATATATATTTAATAAATATATATTTATATATAATTTAAAACCGAAAAAAATGAAATAAATTTAAAAACCGAAAAATATATATTAAAAGCCGAAAAAAAAAATTTAAAAAAAAAAACCAAAAATTATATATATATTAATATTATTTTTTTTATTATAAATTAATATAATTTTTTTATTATTTATATTCAAAATTTATAGAAAATATATATTAATATATTTATTTTTTTTTATTTTATAAATATTTAATGTATATATATTAGCATTTATTTTGATTTTTAAATTAAAAAAAAAAAATTATGGCC